CTAGTATACCTGGAGATCTGTGCTTCTCTKGTCTGTCTATGACCCATCCATGTCCASTGTGTCCTCTGCTGTTTAGCAGAAMAACCACTATGGTCCACCTGTGTGAYAACATAGGTAACTTCTAAATATTTGTAAAAGCTTTTGCATTTTTCTAAATTTCCTTTGTATTTTCACTTAGTTTATTTTATCTTTTTCTGCAGAAATGGGATGCTAGGACTTTGCTCCTACCCTTGCTGTTCTCCTGATTGTCCTAAAACACTTGTCAACTTAATCAAAATTTTACATATAATTTAATTTCTAGGCTTTTTCTCAAATTGATAACCAAATAGAGAAGAAATTATAAAATATTAACTGAGTTAAAGTTTATGTGCAAGTGCATGTCAGATATCAGACAATTGGCAGTAGCATGTCCCTATGTCTTAGTCACAGAGCAAGTTTTAGGAGCATCTTGGACACTAGTGCCAATGAAGAAACTGTACTTCATCATTCCTTTGTGCAAGGTTCTGTTTCATGTCTTTTCTTCTTAATGTTCTTTCTGGGCTAAACATCTTTTCTCTGCTTAGCATCTCCCAGCAACTGTGATTATTTTCATTTGTAGACTTCATTTCTCAGTCTTCGTTTCCTCTCTGCTGGCACTGAAGATTCATTCTGCCTCTGGAGATTGAGAGTCTTTTCTCCCAGCAATCAAGGTTTTGGTTTTCCTGTCCCAAGCTCTTACTTTCTTACATCTTTGCAGTRTTCCTTCTCCACACTGCCTGCAGGCATTCTTCTGGCCTGATCTTTTCCATTTGGGAGTGTTAGTCTTAATAGTTCTTTGTCTTTCTTTGCCCTCACCAAGGTTTTTCTGTTTTCCTTTTGCCCTRCCATTAACTGACACCAGATAAATCCTCCTTCTCCATCTAGTAGTCCTCAGGAAGCTCTTTTTTTTAAGCCTATCACTAGCAAAGTGGAAGCTTCTTACCCCGGAAGGATGGCAAGTACTGCCAGGAGATGAGACTGGAAAGCTGCCTACCTTTCCAGGGGGCAGGGGGAAAGAAGCAGCCTCGTGGCCCCTCTGGCTCGCCGCAAGTCAGTGTGATCTGAGGTGGAGCTCTCAGCAGCTTTGCGGGGTCTCTTGTGCCAGCTGCAGTAACATATCAAAGGTGTGTTGAGCAGCTCTTGTCTTCCCTTGCCTGTTCTTTCTCCCTTTTCCTCTTTGCCTCTCTTACTTCATCCTGCTTGGCCTTCTCTCCTCCTTCCCAGTCTCTTCTACACTTGTTTAAACATGTTCACTAACAGCTTTCTTTTCACATAACACTTCACTGAAACACTCTTGTTTAAAAATCCCTGTATCTTAACAGCTTGCCTTTTCTGTGTGTGCCCTTTTTTMTACCTTTTCTGTCCTTTTATTTATTTTACATGTACAAGCCTGGTCTCTTTGAAACAGTGTGCACATT